CTCACATTATAGCTTCCTCTGAAAAAATCCTCTCCAAAATGTGTCTACAGTTTTCCACTTATGACCCTTTTATAGCTTTCGTTTGGGTGAGGAGTTAGATAACTAGGTTTTCAGGAACAGGATTTGTAAATTCTGTATGTAGTCTTATGTCCATTTTGGAGAGAAATATGTATTAGTTCTTGGTGCTTCCGCTGAAATATTTAATTAATCTGTTACCTTATGACAGAATGAGCTAATTAGCATTAATAGCAATAAATATATTATTTAAATCATGTAAATGAGTTAAATGTAGGACTCTAAAGGAACAGACTATATAACTCCAAAAAATAGGAGCAAAATTTTAAAGTTCAAATGAAGTTGGAAGATATTGATTTGTAGAGACTGAAGACATGAATTTGAAACAGAACCATCAAAATAATCATTATTTAACAATTTCATATGATAGATTATCTGAATATTGATTTACCTAAAGTACAAGGATAAAGAGGAAGAAACAAGGATACAGTAATTCAGAAATGCATAATGATAAACATTTCGTATTGTGAATCTGCTCCCTTGAGCTAAACGTCACAGTGCAAGAGGCTTCCTGTCTTCATGACAGTAAGATCACATATGTAAATGCAAATTTCCCAGTTCACTTCTGTCATTGTACTTGTTATGAAAAATCTATTTCTCAACATAATTGTTGACTCTTCTCCAGAAAGGGCCTAAAAAATAAAGAACTTTGGAACAGAGCCGACAGGAGAATATTTTCACTCATTGTTAGGAAAAATGTACTTAAGAACCTGGTATTAATATGTAATTATAACAATATAAGTAACAAAGCTAATAATGAAAAGATGAAACTTTGCTAGGGAATTTGCTTATTTGCAATTACGATTCTATTAGGGGTTTTCTTCTGGTAGTTTGATTTTCTTAACTAACCGTTTATGAAAATATTGTCTATATTCCAAATGGAAACAGCTTATTTATTTCTTTCTGATTGTAAAATAATACATATTCTCTGGACTTCCAGTGCTATTGAACTTTAGACTAGTCAAATCCTGTAGTTCTTACTCAGTTCTATCGTTGATTCTATAGCATCTGATTAGCTTCTTGTCCTTTTGAAATTCTTTCCAAACACGGCCCCTGTTATGCTGCTACCTCCATCAGCTCTACAATCCATAAGGACAGAGATTTTTTTTTCCTGTTTACATCAGTCTAATTCACTGCCTAGGATAGTACCTGGCCTATGAAGGTACTCATTAAATATTTAATGTATCGATCCTTTTACATATCTGTCTATTCCTTTTCTCATTCTTTTGTTAACTCCTCTTCCTTCTCCCAAATCTTAAAGCTGATTATTTCCCCAATGTTGAGTCTTTTTCTCTCCTTACTTCTTCATTTTTGAACCCTCATGCATTATAATCATATGACTTCTCTAAATGCCACCCATGTCTCTATCACTGACCCTGTCATCTTTTCCAGAGTGAAATCTCCAGCTTTCCTGTGACTATCTTTATATGTTTGTCCCAAAGTCACCTCAAATTTAGCATATCTAAAAGTTGTCTTTTGAGTTCTCAGTCTGTAATAGTGATTCTCATTCTGACAACACTTTTCTTTCTCCAGTTTTGGGTTTTTTTTGAGAAATAACTGGCATACATCACTGTGTAGGTTTAAGGAGTACAGCTGATGGTTTGATTTACATATATTGTGAAATGATGACCACAATAGGTTAGCCAACATCCACCCTCCATTATCTCATATAGATACAATAAAAAGAAAAGAGGGAAAAAATTCTCCTTGTGATAAGAACTCATAAGATGTACTCTGCTAACAGCTTTCCTATATATCATACAGCAGTGTCAGCTCTGATCATCATGTTTACATTACATGCCTGGTACTTATTCATCTTATAACTGGAAATTTATACCTTTCAACCACCTTCCCATTCTCACAGCCCCCCAGCCACTGCCCCTGGTAACCACAAATCTCTTTTTCTATGAGTTTGGTGGGGGCTCTTTAGTGTGTGTGTGTGTGTGTGTGTGTGTGTGTGTGTGTGTGTGTGTGTATTTGTTTCTTTGTTTTGATTCCATAGATAAGTGAGATCATATAGTATTTCTCTTTCTCTGTCTGACTTACTTCACTTAGCATAAGGCTTTCAAGTTCCAGCCATGTTACAACTCTATTTTAATCAATGGCACTATTATTTTCTCATTCTCCCTACTTCAGATTCTAAATCTGTTTTGGCAGGCCTGTATTTTCATTTTAACCATCACCAGTACCACTGGCATTAGCATCAATCATCATCAGTAATATTTATATAATGCTTTATAATCTGAAAAGTATTTTTGCATCCATAACTTTCTGTCTTGGAACTTGTTCCTATATTTTTCCAAGAGACTAATTTTTGACTATTTAAAATATTTGATTTACTACTGTGCAATAAATTTAAAATTACAATCAAGTTAACTATAACAAGGAGAAGTACAGAGTGCTGTGAATTGGGATAACAGATGCCTAACTTAATTGTTTGCATATGAATGTGCTTATATGTGTGTTTGTGTGGTATTTTGCAAGGCTGATTGGATAGGCTTGCTGAAGTGTATTACATTGAAGTAGATGCTGAAAGATATACGGGAGAGCTAGAGGAAACAGTACATACAGTGACCCTGACATGGAAAGGAACATGGTATTTTTAAGAACCCTTAAGAAAGTTAATGATCCCTGAATGGAATAACAAGGGAAAGAGTGGCAGAAGATAAGGCTAATGAGATAGGCAGGGTCTAGAGCCTCACTGCAAACATTTATTTATACAGAAAGTATGATGCTATAGTATATTTTATATTAATTGTATGTTGTTCACTTTTGACTTCTGAAATCCTCTCATTTGTGACTATAATAACCTAATCTTTTAAATAACTGATTAATTGGTTTATTTTCACAAAATATATTTAATATTATAGAATTCCATAATCACTATATGTTTGCTACTGATTTATTCATTCTTTCATATTTTATTTATTTATTTATCTATTTAAAAAAGAGTCTACTTAGTTGACAGGGAGAGTGAGAAAGAGCACAAGAGCAGGGAGAAGCGCAGAAGGAGAGGGACAAGCAGACTCCCTGCTGAGCAGGGAGCCTGACACTGAGTTTGATCCCAGGACCCTGGCATCATGACTTAAGCCAAAGACCGACGCTTAACCAACCGAGCTACCCAAGCACCCCTCTTCTGTGTTTTAAAAAATATTTGAGAATACCAGATGTTTAGTTGGAATAACATTGAATATATGAGTTTTTCACTATTGAGCCTCTCCATTAGTATACATTCATTCATTTATTTAGGTCTACTTTCATATCGTTTAAGAAAGTTTTATAATCTTCATCACAAATGTATTGTAGAGTTTAAAAAATTTATTCCTAGATAACCTTATAGTTTTGCTTCTAAAATAAATGGATTTTTTTCCTACTAGGTTTTAAAATAACTTTTACTATATTATAAGGGTAAAATGGATTTTGTTTTTTGTGTCCAGCTACCTAGTAAAGATTTCTAGGTAAACAATCAGATAATCTTTTAAAAATATAAACCAAAGAAGAAATAATGAAGACAAAATCCCCAGGCATGCTTTTTTTTTTTTTTTTTTTTTTTTTTTAATTCTCAGAAAGTGATTTAAAGAATGGACAAATAAAGTTGGGGATATTTAGAGTAGGGGATAATTGGAAAGGAGATGAAGTTATAGTTACTGGAATGGAGCATACTTGCTGAAGTGAATGGAGGTGAATTTAATGATCTTTCAGAACTTTCCCTGGAGTATTCCTCATAAAAGAAAATACCTTGATGTGGTTCTCAAGTTGTGACAAGTGCCTTAAATCTAATTGACTGCTGGCTTGCTTTTCTCTGCTAGGTGACTCATATCACCAATACTTTTAACCTTAAGAAGTTTATCAGAAATGCAGGATGTCCTCAGTGCCTTCATCTTCAACACACACACACAAAACCTATCAACACCTTTGGATGTCTTCCGTACCCTCTTTTCTGTAGCCATCACATAGTGGAATGAGTGAATACCACCTCGTGGGTAGCATGGGCAAGTAGGTCAGATTGGACTAACTGTCGTTGAGTAGTCCCTCTAAAAACAAGGACCCAGTTATCTTAACTAAACTGGAAACTGTAAGGCTAGCCAGCTGGACTGGAAGCCTTGTAGGAAACACAGTCAATCTATGTCCCCAAATTATACAAGTCCCCACTTTAGAGCCCCCCAAATTGTGAACAACATATTCTTTCTAGGAACATCATGCACACCCTTGAGATTGTGTGTCTTGTGTCCAAATCACACATTATTTTGCTCCCCTGCCAAGAACATAGTGACTTGTGGCATAGTCATGGTCATAAGAAATCTTCGAATGTTTAAGCAAACACCAACAGTAGATGATGTAGCATGCAGGTGATTTGGGGTTTGGTTTCCATTTATATAGCATTTTGGAAAAGGCAAAACTATAGCAGGGGAGACCAGATTAGTGGTTGTCAGGGCTTGGTGAAGGGGCAAAGGTGTGACTATGCAAAAGCATTACAGGGGAGTTTATGGTGAATTACATTCAGTATAATTTTAGTATAAGTGAATTTTATCATAGTCTGTTCTGAATATTACCATAAAGCATAGGATAGATGATGAGAAAAAAATGTGTATGTATATAAGGGAGATACAGAAATAGTTTCTATGATGAGTGTTATAAATAATAAAAAAAATCATAACATTTAATATTATTTTTGATAATCGATATATCCTATATTTACATTTTATATAATTATCTCCCAAATTATACTAGACTTCATGTAATGCTAAATTTAGTTCAGTTTTTTTTTCTCTGAATTTAGTTTTAATTTCCCAAGTCTACTCTGGATGATTTGTCACATTGAGGGGCAGGGAGGTGTGAGTCTGGAGTGGTGTTGAAGTTGGTGATGAGGCAATTTTAAGGTTGAAGTCATAGTAATGCATGTTCACGTCTCTCACTTTCTGTAGACACCCCATCACAGCGAGTACAGTTTATTCTTGGAACTGAGGATGATGATGAAGAACACATTCCTCATGACCTTTTCACAGAACTGGATGAGATTTGCTGGCGTGAAGGTGAGGATGCTGAATGGCGAGAAACAGCCAGGTGAGGATTTTTGTTGAAGGGTGAAGGTATAATAAACAATGTTCATGTTATTGGAAAAGAGATTTGTAAAGCCACAATTTTGCAAACATCCATGAGCTTTGATTTCTGAAATTGCTCATCTGGCCTGGGCATATCCTATAATGGGATATGGGTCAGAATGAAATCTGAAGGCAGCAATTATAGTAAATAGTGATGCAGAGCCAGCAACAGCTGCAGGCTGAAAGATAAACAGTAGCATAATTTGTGTGTCATCAGGAAAACAATAGGAATCTAAAAGTAATTTATTTCTATCTTTTCAACTGTTGGCCTATGCCCAAACTAGAGATATTATATGATAATCTGAGTGTGGGGCTTTTTTAAAGAAAGGAAAAACATTATAAGAGGCTTTAGGTATAGTCCTGGATTTATTTATGTACTATTTGGTGAGGGTAAAAATATTTTGTAGTGTGTTTCTAGGATATATATACATCTAAACATAGTGTCTTTTTCAAAATAACTTTTCAAAAATTGCTTTTCAAAAATTACTTTTCCGTCAACTGTAATTAATATTTCTATACTGCCATGTAATTGATGAATTGCTGTAAAAGAATAATAAGCTAAATTTTACATTTACTTTTCATTCATTCATTCTTGCTTTTTTGCTCATTTATTCAGCAAACAATTATGGAATATCTATAATGTGCCAGGTATAAGGGATAGAGAAAAAACAAAATCTTAGACTTGACTTTAACAATCTCACAGTTTAATGAGGGATTCAGACAAGTAAACAAAGTTGTAAATACTGTTTAATGAATGCTGTGACACAGTTGTGCACAATGAACTGTGGTCATACCAAGTGTTGTCCTTTAAGCACTGCTTCCCAAATTTTAATATGAATATAAATCACCTGGGGTCTTGCTGAAAAGTAGATTCTGTATGCCTCAGGCATGGAATCTCAGATCCTGCATTTCTAATAACCTTCAGCTGATGCGACTCCAATGTTTTTGGTTTGAGGATCACATTTTATGTAGCAAGGATCTAAACCACAAGGGTGAAGGAGAAGGGATCAAGATAGCTTTCCTAGAGGAGGTGATTCCTGAGCTGGCTCTTGAAGGGTGAGTTGGACTTAGCTAGGCAGAAAAGGTGAAGGGGCATTATTCTAGGTAGAGGAGGTGGAATATGCTTGAACATGTCCATTGATACAGGTTTGATTGCTTTGTTAGGTTATCCCTTCCATAGTCACACAGCTCTCAGTGTTAGAAATTCTTTCTGTTGGCCATATTTTTCAGTGGCCCAGGGATTGAATAGTCCTATGAAGGCCACTGTACACCGCTGGATCATATTAAATTTCTGGTTGCATTTAATTATTGCCTTAACTCTACCCAGAGTTAGTGTGAAATTAAATATTCAGTCATGATATTATAAATAATACTGGCTTAGTTAATTCTTGTTTGATAAATTTTGAATAGTCTTTGCAGGTTCCTTTTACTTAAAAAGTACTAGAAGTAAATAGAAGAAGATTAAAATGTCTATTACCTACCCCATCTCTGTTAACATTAAAAAAAAAAAAAAACGAACTGCTAATATTTAAAATTACCAAAGTACAGAAAGATTAAAAAAGCAAAAGTATCCTCTACTCTTGTTCATATCACCTCTCTTCAAAGGTAATCACTGTTCTTGTATCTCTTCTCATAAAAATGTCATACCTAGATCTGCATGAAAATGTATGTCCTTTTAAAATTTATACACTAGGGATTACAAACAACGTTCATGCCTCACTTTTTCATTTAATAATATATCTGGACCATTTTCCATTATTATCAGTACAGGGCACTCAATCTTTTTAATAATTGCATTACATTTAACAATATGAATGAACTTTATTTAGCCTCTCTTGATAAGGTTCTAGGTTGTTTTATATGTTTACTACAAACATTGCTGCAGTGATCATTCACATGTATAATTTTGGTGTTATTTTGTAGGTGTTTAGGTAAGGTGAATTTTTAACAGTAGAACTTATTTACCAATGAGAGCAGGCTTTTAAATTTTTATAGATATTTGCAAAATCATCTTTATAAAATGTTTCAGTAATTCATATTTTTATGAACAGTTTATGAGAGTGTTTATTTTCCTCAAACCCTTGCAAGACTAAATCATCAAAATTTTACATTTTTTGCTATTTTTTTAAAAGATTTTATTTATTTATTTGACAGAGATCACAAGTAGGCAGAGAGAGACAGAGAGAGAGAGAGGAGGAAGCAGACTCCCCGCTGAGCAGAAAGCCCGATGCAGGCCTCGATCCCAGTACACTGGGATCATGACCTGAGCCGAAGGCAGAGGCTTTAACCCATTGAGCCACCCAGGTGCCCCCATTTTTTGCTAATTTTATAGATGAAAAATAAATCTTATTTTTCAAAATTATTGGTAAGATCGAACATCTTTCCAAAAATATGCTTTAATTTTTTTTTCCTGTGAACTAAGTGTTCCTTTCCTTTACCTATTTTATGTCAAATCATTTTCTATATTTGCCTTTTTTAATATTTTAAATTAGTGATATGTTGTTCTGTCTGAATTCCCCTTTTTAGTGAATAAAAAAATCATGTTAGTTAATCATTTATTTTCTAAAGTTTTCTATTATAATACATTAAATATAGAACCAAATTTGAAGTAGTTTATATATGACTTGGTAGATTTTAACTATCTATTCTGTTTTTTTTCTCCCAACTGCTTCAAAACTAAGTGCTTTGGACTTTTTCATGTATATAATCTGAATGCTCATCTTTTTTATTTGGTGACAGAAGAACAATGTATGATAATCTTCACCAATTAGCATTATGACTTTTGCTCTCTCATAACTAAAGAATTATTGATAAGGAATTTAAAGTGCAAACCTCCCTGTTTAAGGCTAGAAACATCTCTCCTCAACTGGTTAGAAGAAATACTAGGTATTCCCGGATGGCCTGAAGAAAGGCTATCTGTTGGGTATGATGACTATGAAGCTCTGGTTAGTTTGAGTCTCTTTATTGCTGAAAGGTACTTTTTGGAAGCATTTCTTTTATATTCTTTTCTTCACTGTCATCCTACATGATAGAACTGAGAAGTACAATTGGAATGTGTATTTTGTCAGGAGTAACTCCTTTATTCTTAAAATGGCTGGTGATTTTTCATCTTCCAGATCCTGTTCCTCTTTTTTTTTTTTTTAAGATTTTATTTATTTATTTGACAGAGAGAGAGAGATCACAAGTAGGCAGAGAGGCAGGCGGGTGGGGGGCGGGTGGCGGGAAGCAGGCTCCCCGCTGAGCAGAGAGCTGGATGTGGGGCTTGATCCCAGGACCCTGAGATCATGACCTGAGCCGCAGGCAGAGGCTTAACCCACTGAGCCACCCAGGCTCCCCAGTGATCTGTTCCTCTTAAGCAGTGACTTCCTTGTGACTTGCTCACTCTCCTGAAGCAGAACAAGACTAAAATCTACAGCTTTCACTTTATCATAGTTGAACAGGTAGGATTTTATCATGCTCTCATGTATTAACCTGAACAACATGTTTATCCTAAACCACCAAAATGTATTCCCTTTCATTTATACAGAACCGAAGAGTTGATGCAGTTAATTATTAGTATTCTCTAATGTTATTAAATAGGACCTGTGTTCTTCGCTATGCTTCTGGAACCCTATGCATGGTACAGCCAATTGAGGTTCAAGGAGACATCTGATGAGCAGTCAAAATAGTAACAGACTCGAAGAGGAGGGTGGATGAATTTTGGCCGAGACACAGTACGTCAGGGAAGAACAGAGCGTATTTATTGAGGACTTAGAAATGTAGTGAGTTTTAAAGTGGCAGAAGTAATTTTATTCTGGTTGCCCTAGTTCATCTAGAAAGACTAATTTTAGTTAATTTAGGGCTCCATCTGATTTTCCAAATGCAATTTAATTCTAATAAATCATTAACATAACTAGTTGAAGCACTTCTTTCTTTTGATTAGTATTCCAGGGGAGATTAATAATTTTCTACCCTAATAGTAGAAATAAAAAGGATATTTTATCAGCACATTGCACCTGTCACATATCACATCTTGAATAATTCATGCCCACTGTTGTTGCCAAGTAAAACTTAAGCAAAGTTTTAGATTTTGAAGCTAAATTTTTGAATCATAATTATTTAATAAATGTTTGTGAAAGCCAGCTGTTCACTTTTAAAAACCCTAAGAGAAGCCATATGACAAGGGCTAATGAAATCAACACAATTACAATGTCCTGCTTATAAATAACATATAATGTTATTAATAGAAAAACACGCAAAGATACCACAGCTGTGCAGTTATGAAGACAACATGTTTGACTCACTGTGGTTGCCCTTTAAAAGTCCTACCCACAAATGAGCTCAGAAGAGGCAAAGCAGGGGGTAGCAGTTGACCTCTGATACATACAAGGTAGTGTCAAAAAGGATTACTGCATCAAAACAATTTTATTGATGCTGTGCAGTCATTTGGTATTCAAAATTAGGAAAGATTTAAGTCGTCATTAAGATTGAGATGTGATGTGAATGTGAAGATGTGAGATGTGAGATGTGAAGATAGTATGGATTAAGAACAGCTAGGGGCACTTGGGTAGCTCAGTGGGTTAAGCACCTGACTTTGGCTCGGGTCAGAATCTCAGGGATAGAGCCCTGTGTCTGGTTCCCCTCACAGCGTGGAGTCGTCTTGGCTCTCTGCCCCGCCCCCACCCCCTCTTCAAGGGTGCATGGGCGTGCATGCCCGCTCCTGCTCTCTCTCTCTCTCTCTCAAATAAATAAGTAAAATCTTAAAAAAAAAAAATCTCTTTAAGGACAGCTAATGTTTCTAGGTTTGGATATATTTCACTTCTCCTTTCCCCTAAAAATAGGCACTTCATGATTACATATGTTTTTGTCTGCCCCCACCTTAACCATGTCCCTCCTCTCTCATCTGTAGCCGCAGCTCTTTTCTCTTAAGAATCTATAACTTGGACCAAGGCTATAATTTTGGAAAACATTTTACTTTCTATTTGGGTAGAACCAGAGAATAAAAAAATCCTAAAAAAGTTAAAAGGAATTAGTAGGAATAGAATAAACAGAAGGAGTTAATTTCTAAGGAGAACATCTATTTCTAATTTGCAGAAGAATTTTATTTTGTAGGTTTTTAATATGAGTATTGTAGAAGAGATTATTATCTCTTAATCCTCAAATAATTCATAAAACACCTATTTTATTTCATGTTTTTTTGTTATTTAGTAGAAAGAGATTCCAATGTGTTAATCATGGATAAAAACGGATCCAGACACACTGTAGGAAAATCAAATAATCTCAGAGTTTAAATCTGCCCCTCCCTCCCGAAAATGTCATACAATTGGCCTGCAGTTTTGATTTTTTTCATTGTTCATAACGTCTCATTCATGCCTGTGAGACTCTTGCTTGCTGTTCAAACAAATGTCAGCTGAGTTTATTTGAAAACTGGAATAAATTGCAGCACTTTAGGTCATTAACTGCAATCAGGCATTTTGCAACTGACTGTCTATTCAATGACTACAAATCTTTAAGCAGGGTTTGGTGTGTTCCCAGACCTCTTAAGTTCTATCTTTGAAACATGAAATGTAATAAGAAGCAGAAAAGAGAGATACACTTATGTGTGTGTGTGTGTGTGTGTGTGTGTGTGTGTGTGTGTGTGTGTAGAGAGAGAGAGAGAGAGAATACATGTAAAGGATATATATATATATGTATGTATGTATGTATATGTGTTTATATATACATATATATAATTTTTAATATAGTCTTTTAAAAATAATTATTTAAACAGCTTTTTATCACTTTTGGCATAATTCTGGAGTTGGCCTAAAACACTGAATCTTGAAATGTTTAGAAACTTGATATTTGTAACTTGTGGGTTTCTTTTTATGGAAAGTATCTTATGCTTCTTCCTATAATATTCATAAAATCTATGGCTGAATCAAACTAGCATCCAAATATTTGGTTATCTTAACTACCAAACTGGAATTCCTGGAGATTCTATTCTTCTTTTCTAAAGGACCAAGCCTCCAATCTGAAGGACATTATACCAAAAGGAGAAAGATACCTTTAGATTTGTTTTTAAAATTTCTTTTCAGAGACACACATAGGTCAATGGAATAGAATAGTGAACTGAGAAAGACCAACCCAAGTAGAGCTATTTGATTTTTGACAAAGAGTAAAAGCTATTTAGTGGAAAAAGAATTGTCTTTTCATCAATGGTACTGGAACAGTTAGAGATCTATAGGTAAAAAATAACTTGTAGTGTATACAAAATTAATTCAAAATAAATCATAAATCTAAATGTAAAATGTAAAGCTATACAAATTTGAGAGAAATATATAGGCAAGAATCCTAGGAGGACCTAGAAACTACATGATGAAGTTTTAGACGTGATATCAAAAGTACAAACCACAAAAAAAAATTCATAAATTGGATGTCACCAAAATTAAAACCTTTGTGCTGTGAAAGATCCTGTTAAGAGGATAAGAACAAACTAATAGACAAGGAGAAAATATTTACAAATCATGTATTTGACAAGAATATTATATATAAAAATGCAATGAACTCCCAAATTTCAACAATATGAAAATAAATCAATTAGAAAAATGAGCAAAAGCATAGTCTGGAAGTGAGACACATAATTTCTGCTCACAATTTCTTGTCCAGAACTAGTCAATAATCATATGGTCTCACCCAGTCAAAAGGGAGCCAGGAAGTGGCTATTCTTTACTAGATAGAGAGGGACAACTAGTTGATGAACAGTACTAAGAATAATCACATGCTTTGTGAAGTATTATGGCCCTATCAAGGCCTGAAAATCATTAAGAATCACTAATATGAAAAATTCCCAACTGTATACACAAAAATATTCTATAAAATTTTCAGCATTGAAGAAATACTGTCAGTGATTTGGGGCTTAAATGTAAGTTTTTTCAACCTTCAAGTGTCTTATAAACTTATGATAGGTATAGGTATTCCGTGTCCATAAACTGTTGGCAGGCATGGTTATTCTTGTTGGTTTCCTTTCCATTTTCTGACAACTTTTTGCTTCCTGAAGAGTGAGGATGAATACATAGCTTTCTTTATCTTTCTTGGAACTTTGCACATTAACTATTCTGATTAACCCTTTTGGTTACTTATTTTTGGCTGATCCACTGATTCCCTAATTAGTTACTGTTGGAGTTAGATCATTTGATTACATATAACAATAATATAATAATTTATAGAGATTTGAGTGGTATTGTATAGAGATGAATTTAGAACAAAAATGACTAAGGAGAGGTGAAATGAGGAAAATGGTGGAAGGAAAGGGAGAAAAAGCAATTTAGACTTTATTTAGGGTTCATTAAAAATGGCAGAATTAAACTGGTCACCTATTAGGATTAGAGAACAAGTCCCTAAAAAATGAGGTTCGGTGGTGTGCAAGACAGTGGAATCACTGGTTTCTCTTTATTCCTTCCATTTATCTCAGTTAAACAAACTCAGATATTATTCATTTCACTCTAAGAAGGCAGTGGTCTCTGATTTGGCATCTTGACATCAAGGTTTCTTCTGTTCTCAATCTGGGCAGGAAGGCCCAGAGATTTGAGGCTAAGCTCCATTCTTATGGGTTTCTGTAGTCCCTAGGAAATGACTGCAATCACTAGATTTCATCCAAGCAGGCCTAATATGTATTTTTCTTGTAAAGTATGCCCCAAACTATACTAGCTCCCCTAAAAATCAAGTGGAAAAATTATTAAGAGACTCAAGTATTCCATTTTAAGACCTCCTACTGAAGAAAAATGAGTATTCTTCCATTTCCTTTTGTATCTTTTTCAATTACCATTTTCCTTCTATGAAGTACATTCTATTAATTCCACAGCAGATTCACTGTGACTGCTGAATAAACACTTACATATTTTTTTAGAGCTCAACAAACTAATAAAAATAACATTTGATTTTCTTTGTCTTCTATACAACTTCCAATGACAAAAAGAATGCTTGTTAAATGAAATTAAAGTGAAATAAACCAAATTACTTGGACTAGTTTTTACTTTTGAACCCACAAAACCAAGAAGCAATGTGAATATCTTTCTGTTTCTACTTTTTATTCTTGGGACAAAGGATCATTCCATCTACAATGTAATATTCAATGTGCTGATAATGTTTATTTGTGTAGGTGGTTGAAGTTTGAAGAAGATGTGGAGGATGGAGGAGAAAGGTGGAGCAAACCCTATGTGGCTACTCTTTCATTGCACAGCTTGTTTGAGCTGAGAAGTTGTATTCTGAATGGAACTGTGTTATTGGACATGCATGCCAACACTTTAGAAGAAATTGCAGGTATATCTTTTTTTCCCTTAGTCTAGTTCACTATCTTGGTATAGTTGATTTTTATTATTCCCTTTTCCTTATAATTATATGTATACCTTTGGAAAATTAATTCTTATAATCAGCATATGAGACTTTAAATATAACTTTCTCCTCTCTTATTTAAGATGGAAGAAGTTGAATCTCAGAGGAATGTGGTCTAACTTGTCAGTGGCAAGTCTAGAACAAGAACCTAGATATCCTGACTCACATTTAATATATATTGTTTTTCACTATCATGCTTAATCAACTGTCACCATTGGGAAATGGAAGGGAAAAAACCCGTAAAGCTAGAGATGGATTTTTTCCAATAAGGGAATGCATTTCATTCCAATGCATGAAATGATTCCAAAAAATCCGCAGATAGGGAAATGTTAATTTAGAACAAAACAGGGAAAGGTATGACCATTTATTTTAAACTGAATTGAAACTCATGAATTCCAGAGGATGCCAAGCAATGCAGTTGAGATTAGTTTTTAATTTAATATTACGACTAGTCCCTAGGATGAAAGATTTGTATTAGAAACCTATTATGTCTATATAACACAAGTAGTTATGTTTAGGAAGCATCTTACTGTTGTTACTCTAGAAATAGAGGAAAGAACTCCTGTATCTTTTGATTTGGAAGACAAACACACTTTAGCAAAACAAAATAATACAAAAAGAGTTTTGAAAGAGTATAAATGAAATAGTTAATGGAGATTTTAAAAATAAAAATAAAGCAATAACTCAGGCAGTTTTTAAAATTTCTAGTGTGGAAAAAAGAAATAAAAGCAGTTCCATGTAGAATTTATTTGTAAGGTAGAAAGACTTAAGGGAGTCTTTAATGTCTAAATTATATTGTAGAAATGGAAAAAACAAACTTCCAAAACTCTGTGAATATTTTTTTGATTACGTAAGTGAAAGAATATTATACAAAAAATAGATATAATTTAATCTTCAGAATAGTCTCATGAAGTAAGTATCATTCCCAATTTTTCAATAAGAAAATAGAAATTCTGAGACTTTCAGGGCCCTTTTTCCATCTAAAGGCCTCTGACTGTAAGCTGTGTGTTTCTTATATTACACTACAACTACTGTCTGAAGAAAAAGCATGGCTTGAAGTGGATGTTGCCCACATTTTAATGATAGTTTAATTCCTTTAAAAATTATTTATTTGGTCACTGGAGCTGATAGACATGCATACATTGCAATATTTGTGAAAAGAAAAGTAAGTGTGGAAAGACATCTTGGCCTACAATATTAAGCAAAAACAATCAGAACAGAAAAAAATGGTTTAGATAAGCCTTCTTTTCCTTCTTTCCTGGAGTTTCATAGTACACCTATAAAGAGCTTTCCCTTTAAAACACATAACTGGAGTCAAAAAGACCATATGGTTAAGTACAGTGTATTTTTCAGAAAAAACACAGGGTACAGTCATGGATAGCACTAACTGAAGACTTAGAGAAAAATGGTTAACTTAGGAATTAGCAAACTTCTTGTGAATGCTGGAAAAGTAGCTACCCAATGTAATTTCTTAACTTTATGTTATGGGGTCCTGCTGATAGCCCATAACATTTTTGTGTTTTAGTTAGGAACCAAATGACATTTTCACGGTCCTTTGCAGTTTAGGAAGCTCTTTGTAGTAATTCTCCATTATCTTTTTGATACTCAAAACAAAATTGGGGCTTAGTATTATGATTGTTTATCTTAATTCATAAATGGAGAAATGAGATGCAGGAGGTTGCCCAAAATAAGGAGTTTATTTATGTCAGTGCTGGCATTACCTTTGAAAATGGATTAATCCAAACAACTTTTGGACTGGCTATATCTAATGAGACTGTCAGATTCCTCAACCTGCCAAAATTAACCTCAGAAAACACCCTTCATTACTTAAAGCATGTATATTCTAATGCTTTTGTGAGAAATTTACTTCTACCAGAAAGTCTCCCATGAAAATTTGACAGAAACTCTGTTCATCTTATCACCTTCGATCAGTTTTTTGGTCTAAATTTATGTTTCCTTTTCCTCCTGCTGTTCCCTTCCCCAAGCTCTGTTCTGTAGACTATGGGAGGATTGTTAGCTGTGTTAATTCTTGCTCTTGAAAGCAAACTACATTTTCTGAGTCTGTCCTTACAAAGGAAAGTAGTTCAATGGAAGTCTTGATACCCCAAATAGCTTTTGTTCTTTCTGCTCGTCTAATTAGTCTGTATCTTTATGTCTCCAAAGTAGCTCAACTTGAATGTCCCATTTTCAGTTCAGAGCAGTCTGTAAAATGCCATTCAGAAGATGTCAGTGGTTTAGAGCTAATACCACATTTAAAAAAATGATTAAAAATAATTGTTGATTATTATTATCTTAAATTTCTTTTCACTCATTAATGAGAAGAGATTTCCTCTCTTTAAGTAATTGTAATTTGACTTATTTAATCCAAAGGTATTTGTTTCTGCCCTCAATAAAATCTTACTAAGACATTTTCTCCCTATAGTTTGTAATTATTTTCTGTTTACTTTTTGCTATTTTTGCTTTGTGAAAATTGAATTGTATTACTAAGTATGCATTAACTATACATTTTTAAGACTTCTAACTTTGTAAAGTATTTTCACATTCATTATATGTTATTATCACCGTAACCTTGTGAGATAGAGAGGAGGCTATACACCCATTTTATAAACAGATAAACAGGAAATGATATATCATAGATGGTACTTGCAGTGATGGGAATAATTTCTTTTATTAACCTGTAATTATAAGTTTTGTTTTATTCTATTTCATGATAACTTGTGACTATATTGATTAACAATAGGATCAGGAGCTCTTCTTCACCTCCTATTTATCATGTTTTTCTATACGTTAGGAAGTTACTAACATATTAGTCACTAGTTTCAGTTTTCTGAAAGCTAGATATAATATTTATCTTTAAGAGCTCTAAACTCTTAAACTTTGTGAATGCACAGGCTCTAGTATTTTCTAATAGAGAAATATGACCCAGATATTGTTTTAGAATAATCAAGAATTTTTTTATCAGTCTTCTGATATGTTTTTAATAGTCTTAGATAATTCTTTAAAGAGATTTTTGTAGACTTAGCAGGAGAAAATCCCATTTGTATCTGGCAGGTCTGTCAAGAATGTCTGGTATAATTAAAGTAGGATTTTCTTTTGGACAAAGTTAATTTAAAAATGTCTATTTCCCAATGTTTCAGGGAACTTGGAATAAATTTTAACTTCTTCCTTCAAAATATTATTTAACCTTTTAAAATCCAATATTCTTCAGATATGCTTTCTTACTGTGATTTTAGTCTGATGGAGATTAATTGTATTTAAAATGCTTCTTAATTATATTTATATAAATTATAGGCGATTTTATGGTCTATGTCAAACTCTGAAATTCAGCACTCTAAAGATTAGTAATGGAAAAATTCTCTCTGCATTGTATGCTTTACCCTAATTCTGTCAGTGGGAGTAAGAAATGAAAACCAAACCAAAGTTAGGACCATGGACAGATTATCAATCATAGCTCTCCATCCATTAAAACAGCTTTTTTAAAAAAGATTTTATTTATTTATTTATTTATTTGAAAGAGAGAGAGGGAGGGAGAGAGAGCACAGAGGGAGAAGGAAAAGCAGACTCTCTGCTGAGCAGTGAGCCTGACATGGGACTTGATGTCAGGAGCCTGAGATCATAACCTGAGCTGAAGTTGGCTGCTTAACCAACTGAGCCACCCAGGCTCCCCTAAAACAACTTTTGTTGTTAAAATATTCTATTGAAAAAAAAATAAAATAAAATATTGTATTGAAGGAAAAAATTGAAGTTTGCTTCACTGAGTGTAATCTGCAGATTTGGGAGTATGGGAATAGTCACATATTGTTTAACATGTCCATACTATTACCATCCTTGTTCTGGAAACTAAGCATTCTTAGGGTAGCTTACAATTTTAATATATACGTATATATACACTCCTGTCAACCAAACTGCTGAATTTAGACCCTTCCTATTTCTTACTCCTCCCCACTCCCAGCCTCTTAAGACAATGGATTTTTAAGGCAAAGAATTTATATGATTATCTTCTAAGGGGCAAAGATTTCCATAGAATCTGTAAATCTCATGATCTCTGGAGGTTTTCATTCAGTGGTTAAGATGGATTGATCACAATAAACTAATTGCCTGATAAGAATGAAAAATAATTTTTCATTTTCTGAGACCTTTTTACAGAAATGCTACTAGTGTCCCTAGAGCCTGCCTAGTGCTAGAAGAGTGTGACCTATTTATCCTTTTTGTTCTCACTTCTCCTGATATCACCCAGATCCTGGCATTGTGCTTTGACAGGCTAGACTGTGTCATTTAGACATCATATCCAGCCGAGATTGTAGGACTTGACTTTGGGCCCTAAGCCATTATGGCTCATTATCCTTTCCTACTTTTCAAGGTTAATACTAATATATATTATAGTGATGAAGAGAACAATGAGAGTGATTAGCGAATCAGACTCCCATTGGTACTTAAATCTCACCTCAGTATAAGTTATATTCCTAAGCAAGATGATTAAATTTTCTAGTTCATTAAGATATATTTGATGCAGTTATACCTCAGAGGAGTTTACTGTGTATTTCTGTGTGGCTAATGAGCAGATGAGCAGGTTTTTGTTTTTTTTTTCTATTTACTTTCTCTTATGTAACTGTTTCAGATAAAAACCTTATTTCTGAAAGACTGTGAAGCTAGCGACTTAGGGATTTTTTTAGTGCTTAAGCCTAGAAAGACTGTACTTTGATAAGAACTAAAAATCATAACCATGTACATAGGATTTTATATGCTTCATTTGATTCGGATTAGAATATTGAACTGGGGATACACATTATGGCTTAGAGATGAAGCTGTGGTACAGTGGTACCCTTCTGGTGTTTTAATAACCAACTTTATAATGCCCATTATGAAGTTTATGTGGCATGTTTTATATACATTTTTCCCTCTTAGCAAGGTTTCAGTGTAAAGTCACA